CCGAATTAGGGTTAAATCACCTTATAAGAAGGAGATTAAAACTCTAATTGAATAAGAGACTTTTTGAGCCGTCTGGTACAGAACTTTGAGAGCTTTTGGGTAAGATCCAAAGAGTTCTAAGAGTTCCAAGTCTCGTTTTCTCGAAGCGCGAAACCGAATAGCTGATTCGGGTCCTAGCAGACAAGTTCCAACCGTTGGAATCCATCCCGAGGTGTGGATACGTGTAGAGGGCGAGGTATTCTTCCTCCCTTTCATGATCAGACAAGTTCTTCAATTGATACAGACCCCAGATCGATTGAGGTAAGCGTTCTAACGTTTCTACGATTCATAGAAGAATGGTTCTAGGGTTTCATTCAAGTTTTTGTTTTATATACGCTGCGCAAACCCTAGAATCGATCTCTTAGGAATATGATTCGCTCTAGAGATCCCAGGAATTCCATCAAATTCCCCAAAAAATCTTATTTCAATTTAGAACATGAATCAAGCATCAATCAAGCAAGAAACACTCAAAACTCAAAACTCATGTTAATAGACTTTCGAATTAAACTAGAATTCACTCACCTCGGGTTATGCCCGCGTGTTGGGTGATGGATAAGAAGCTTGCTAGAGCTCCTCTGGGTCTGTAGAAGTCAAATGGAGTGTTAAAAGTTTTTGCTTTGGTTCGGTTGTCCTAGACTCTTTTTTTTAACGACATGAATGTTCAATCGTCGTCTGACGATCGGGCGATCGTGTGTCGTGTTCTTCGTTTTTCGGCGCATGACACGATCTGCTATCGCCCGAGAGCGATGGGTCGATCGTGCATCATGATCGATCGATCGTGCTTCGACGATCGGTCGATCGCCGGAACTGTAAATCGGAATTTCACCGATTTTCTTGAAGATTTCTACCAATTTTTATGACAAATTCATCCCCACTCATAACCCATCACTTCTATGTCTATATTTTACCCATAAAAGCCAACTTCTATAACTCCAAAACAAATCCGTAATCTAAAAAATCAAAACCGAGCTACTCACAGAATTTCTGAGGTGTTCCGACGGTAGTTCTCGGAGTAGAGAGGCTGATGGTATGGTTTTCGAGGTGCAAAAGCTTGGGTTCTCCGTCGACAGCGCTTTGGCAGCTCACCTCGGCCCTTCTCCCTCTCTTTGTCTCTCGGTATCTCAAACCAGAGGAAGCTCGCTCGTGTTTTAAAGAACACGAAGTTGCGGTCACAGTCACGTGTGGGACTGCTAGAGAGATAGGAGTGTGGAGTTGGTAGCGGCGTGGAAAATTTCGTCTGCTGGCTGTCGCTTTCACTCTGTTTTTCGACCGACGATCGCACCATCGTTGTGTCACGATCGGTCGATCGTGTTTGTCTCACGATCGGTCGATCATTTTTTTAATTTCCGGGTTGTTACACATTCCGAGTTCTCTTTCACAGCAGAAGACTGTCCGTTCGATTGCAACGACGAGTCAAACGGTAGCAGCGTCTGTGGGGCCAAGGAACATAACAACAGCATATGTTGCTCCAAAGAAATTATTCAAATCTTGTTCTTTCTTTCTGTTTTGGCTCGGTTTGCATAGAAATTTAGATATTTTGGTAGAGTGTAATAAACGAAAGAAAGAAAGTGTTGAAATAAAATTAAACTTGATTTTGAAAATCAATAAATATTTTATGGTTAATATGTAAGGTTGATAAAAAAAATGTGATGGAATTGTGGTTTGGTGTGGTAGTTAAGAATGTGTAGAATATGTGTGGAAAAAATTATATAAAAATATTTTTAATAAGTGAGTTAGATATGTAGTTAGGTGTGGATTTGTATTATAAATATGTATGTTTGTATGGAGTTTGATATTAAGCAAATTTGAAGAGAAAAACAAAGAGAAAGGTTAAGAAAAACATTTTTTCTTCCAAAATTTTCAAGTTCTTTCTTTTTCCAAAATATTTTCTAATTTCCTCCAAAATCCTAAACACTAAATAACCCTCTTCCTTAAGCCAAATAATCCTCCTCCTTAATCCAATATCCCTGTCTAATAAAGGTGAACTATGAAAAATAGTGCTTACGAATGAAGGTTTTGCTCGACTATAACGAAGTTTGGGAGATTGTGGAGAAAGGGTACGATAAACCCGAAGATGAGGAGTTCTTATCACAACTACAAGTGAAGGCTTTATCCGAATCAAAGAAGAAGGATAAATATGCTCTCACTCTCATTCATCAATGTTTGGATGACGAGTTACTCTACAAAGTCTCTCATGCCACTACGTCAAATGAGATATGGAAGATTTTAGAAAAATATTTTCTCATGTCTTTTTGTTTTGGTTGAAGTTAACCAAGAATACGACGCCAGAGCCAAAGCCGGGAGGAAAAGATGAACAGACAATGACTATGAGGATAGATAGAAACCAAGACGCCTTTTATGGATGTGGATTCTATAGATTTCAAAATATCCTTCTTGATAATGAAGACAAACATAATGAAGACAAACACTTTTTTGTAACTATTTCATCCAAGGTCTTTCATCTTCGGCAATGTCAAATCTCTCCATCTAATAAAACTTAGGACAATACAATTGATAAAGACAATAATATATATATATAT